GCTGCATGGTTAAAAATCCTAATAAAAAAGCAGCAGTGTTCAATATCTTGATTTATGTTGTGGGCTTTTCTTCCTTTTGGGGATTAAAATATTTTTTTCTTAGTTTTGATACATGATTTTTAGAAGGCCTGGTTAAGCAGTAAATCTATACAAATATATTAACAATTTACTTGGTATCGGACAGGAATCGGTATCGGCAGATACTAAATTTTGTGGTATCGGTATCTGATGGGAAAAACTGGTATCGAGCCATCCCTAGTACTGATGCTTGATTGCTAAATAAATATTTGCCATAGAGCTTTCTTCGGTGTAGAAATTTAATGAAGAGAACTGCCGGAGTTCAGCCCAGCTCTCTGTGTGTGAGTTCAGTCACTACCCAGTGGTGTGTGTTTAAGTCATTGATCTATAACTAAAACAGCTGAGCTTCATCCTTCTGAAGACGCTGGTTTCTTTGAGGGACAGATCCTAGCCAAGCTCATCTTTCTTAATGCACCAGCTAGCTTGAATGCTTCACTTAGCAGTGCATCATAAATCCCTTTATTGCATAAGCTAATGGCATTGTAACATAAGCTATGGTCAGAGACTCACATCATTATTGAGGCTGCTTTTCAAGAGCAGAAAACTACACTCAGTTGGCAGTTTATTAGGTTTGCCTAGCTAAAATTAATCCAGTGTAATAGTCATACAATAGAGCCTCCATCATGTTCAGTTTTCATTCAGACTGTTTTAGAGAGGTGTCGATTCATCTGCATAATCACTTTGGAGACTGTAGTTTGTGGTGCTGAGAGGTGTTTCTGTTATGGGGTGTTCACACTAATGGATTCAGAAAGCTGGGCCAGTGACAGCTGCCATTCATTGTGAACAAGACCTGGCCTTGCAGTCCTGTGCTCCCCGCTGAGCTCAACACACTCCAAAAGTATTTGTGCCCATTTATTCTGTGTGAGCAGCAGGGTAGCACAGCTGCAGTGTCCTTGGTGCAACAAACTATAGGAATTATTTTTCATTAACCCACTTCGCAGGATTATTTGAAAACTACATTTCAAACGTGAAATATGATTTATCCTGGAATTGTTTGCAGCTATCCCAGCAGTTACACAAGTTAGCTCAGAAAGCCACCCAAGTCATTTTTGTAGGAACTAATCTTGTATTTATTTTGTGGAACTGCTCTTAGATTATGCATTAACATGTACAGTCAAGGAAAAAAATTATTTGAACCCCAGTTGATTTTGTAGGTTTGCCCAATAACAAAGAAATGATCTGTCTACAATTTCAATGGTAGGTTTATTTGAACAGTGAGAGAGACAACAATAACAAAAAAATCCAGAAAAATGCATTACAAAAAAAGTTGTACATTAATTTGCATTTTCATGAATGAAATAAGTATTTGATCCCCTATCAGTCAGCAAGATCTCTGGCTCCCAGGTGTATTTTATACAGGTAACGAGCTGACATTGGGAGCCCTCTCAGCTCGTTACCTGTATAAAAGAGACCTGTCCACAGAAGCAATCAATCAATCCAGATTCCAAACTCTTCACCATGGCCAAGACCAAAGAGCTTTCCAAGGATGTCAGGGACAAGATTGTGGACCTACACAAGGCTGGAATGGGCTACAAGACCATCGCCAAGCAGCTGGGTGAGAAGGTGACAACAGTTGGTGC